CAGGACTTGTAATATTGGCTAGAAATTATTTGGATGTATATCCTTATGATCGTTGGGGTGAATCAAATTTGCCAAATTTTCAGAAAGGTGAAACATTTATACCTACCACATGTGAAATGCGAGAAGGACGTACTTCACCACCTGAATATTTGACTGAAGCAGATTTAATTAGTATAATGGACCAGAATGCTATAGGTAATTAAAGTTATTTAATTTAAATTCAAAAAAAATAATAATAAAATAAAATAATTTTATTTTTATTTTCAACAGGTACTGACGCAACCATTCATGTACATATTGCTAAGATAATTGAACGAGAATATGCTAGAAAAGACTTTAGGAGTGGAAAAACTTATATATTACCATCAAACTTGGGTGTTGCACTAGTCGAAGGTTATGACTCTATTGGATTTGATAAGTCGTTGTCTAAACCATTTTTGAGAAGAGAGGTGAGAAATAAACGTTATAACTGATGTTATTCACATCATGTTTATATTGACTTATCGCATTAATAACGCACGAAAATATTTTCAGATGGAATCAAATTTTAAAATGGTTTGTGAAGGACGAAAGCAGAAAGAAGATTTGATCAAAGATAGCATTGCCATGTATAAAGATATGTATATCAAGACAAGTGAAAATGTTCAAAAATTAGTTCGAGTAAGGATTAATTTTGAATATAATATGTAATTTGGGTGTTAACAAATATTTATTTATATTTTTTTATTTATTTTATTTATTTTACATATATATATATATATTATAGAGCGTTTCTACCCGTTTAACAACGTCTGGGTCCAACCTTAACCCTGATGTTTCTAATAATACGCCGGTATGTGTTCATGTGATGTTAGGAAGATTATTTTTTCATTAAAATTTTTATATCAATGATTTATAGCCTGAAAGACGTTCGAGGCCTGCGCAACCAACTAGAAGTTCTACATCGTCGTTCCAATCCGCTGCGGTTGGTGTATAATATAAAACACGCTGATCTGATTTTATATATTCGTTTTAATGTTATCAAAATATATTCATTTATTTATTATTTTTTAGTCAATATTTCAATCTTTAACAACTCAATCGGATTCGAGTCAATCAGATTCAGATCATCCTAAATGTCGATGTGGACTCTATGCTGCTTCTAATAAGACAATGTCTTTAGGAGCTAATCATGGAAGGCCTTATTTTGCATGCCCAAAGGCAGGTAAAAAATGTACTTTTTTCCAATGGGCAGATGGAGCATCGACTTCAAGCTCAGGTACTCGTCGAACTCATGCGAGTAGTGACAGTAGTCCTGGAAATGTTACATGTTATAATTGTGGTGAAGTAAGTTTAAATATTATGTTTCAGAACATTTTAAATTTTTTAGAATTTAATTAGCTTTCTCTGATATATACAGGCTGGTCATTTCGCTAATATGTGTAAGGAATCGAAGAGAACCAGAACAAACGCGACTAGTAGTAGTGCAGTCCAGTCAAGAATGAGTACCTCTACGTGTTACAAATGCAATCAAGTTTGTACTATTTATTTATATAAAATATATTCTCATTATAAAATCGCTGGTTAAGTATATTTGAATTTTTTACATAGGTTGGACACTGGTCAAACAACTGTCCAAATGCAGCATCCTCTTTTAATGGGTCTCGTGGTCGTGGTTCAAAACGACGCGGACCTCAAGCACGTCGGAAAGAAAAAAAAGGAAACAGTTCTACGTGATCCCGTATAACATGCCTATTATTCACATCTTCTAATCGTCTTATAGTATAGTAGATCGAACTTGTATAATAATAAATATTTAATTTGATTTGTTAATTGTAAATTTTTAATTATAATCAGACCTCGTTATACACTCGTTATGGTTTAAAACAACGATGCTCCTTAGTCGGATTGGATTGGAATACTTCTTGATTGGCTAATTTATGTCATGTTGCTGCATTGACCAATCAAATCGGTCAAAGAACGAACGTAAGTAAGGATGTGCCTTAAAGCTAGCGCTGGTTTTGTATTCAGAATTCATCCGAAAGGACGGCCTGTCAAGGATAGGATCGAAACACTAAGTGAAAAAAAAGCGGTTACCGTTTATCACTGCAATTTCGAATGTAAAACGATGCAAATACTTAGTATACTTTTTCTAAATCTCGATGAGATCATCTACAATTCCACCCATAAAATAGTGTAAAGGATAGTGTAATACCGGCGTATTTATTCGACATGTGTGTCCCCACTTCATTTAACAGCTAGCGTAGTTTTAATAACCGGGTATGAACTAGAGTTGCAGGTGAAACTAATTAATTTCACCAGGAAACTGGTGCACCATTGAAGGTTAGTTTCACCTGCAACTCTAGTATGAACATGTTTCATAATATACCCTGGATACACATGTCGGATAGATAAGGTATAATTTTAATATTTTATATAATCTAATACATAGCATTTATTCAGGTGTGATACAATCACTATATTATAATCTATATAATAATAATTCTAATATAAAAACACGGTATTTCTGAGGAATTCAAACTCATATTTTCTTATTTTCGTTATTTTCGTGTAATTTGCTAAGAGAAAAAATGGTCACACATCCAACTACTATAAGCGTACTCCATCCTTTCCAAACATTGAAACATTGACCATTATCCATTTCACAAAACATTATATGACTAAGCCCAAATACCACGATCGCTCTAATAGAATTTAACAATCCAGTAGAGACATTGCCAATTTGTTTAATCAGCTGATAATAAGCAAGGTTGTGAATAAATGATGCAAATACTAACATCAAATATATTGTTACAATTGTGAAAGTGCTTGTATGCTCGGCTTTCTTCGCAATTTCATCCGTTACCAGTGAGTTCCAATTGGGAATTGTATAAAAGATTATATATAAGATAGACATACATGAACAACTGCTTCCTACCAAGAAGCAAGCTTTTTCTGGTGAAGGCGGAAGTTCATTTGAAGAACGAACAATAAAAATTTGATCGGATACAACGTAAACACATGCATAACCAAATGTAGCAAATGATGTTAAGATCATTCCAAACATTGTGGAAGACATGTTAAAAGAGTGAAGTAACGATGGACCAGTAGCAGTTGCGGGCGGTGGTGTTGAATGCTGATCACCCTGATCTTGATAAATTCCCAGTGCGCTAAGAGCAAGTCCGATGAATACACCAAAAATGCATAGTGATTGTACAAATAAAAGTTTTCGTCCAAGAAAAATAAACGAAAGAATAGCACACCAAATGACTACTGAACTGTAAATTACTTGAAACATCTTGTTATATACACCGATGGAAATAAAAACAAAGAGGAAAATAAAGATTAGTTGTGCTGCTAATAATGGTATATGAACGATTTATGAAAACTAACTTACTCCACTTCCAACATAGAAAAAGCCTATCGTTAACGCAAAATTAGCTGTAACGTCCAACAATGATGCAGCTATAATTAAATAATAGTTTATAACTTCATTCTGATTTGAAATTTTGTTATCCATATATTCCACAGTATCTTCAAAAGTATCTTCAGCATCACCATTTGGTAATAGTTGATATTCTTTCTGTGTTTGAGTTGCCTAATAGAAAAAATTTGACAGCCCATAAATAAGTAAATAAATTAAAGAAAAATGATTGCAATTGAATGGGTTTATAAACTTGTCTGAATGGATATCCTTATAGAAATCCGGAAATATAAAATGTCAAGGATTAATTTCGACATAATTCAAAGTACACAAACAACCTTGATTTTGCCGATATTCACCATAGCGAATTCCATAGTATTAGATCTTTTTCTCTTGAACTCTATATTATTCAATCTTTTTCTCTTAGCCAACCATGGAGGTATAAGTAACAGCCCAACCAACGCAGTCCCGATATATTGTGCAGTGTTTGTGAGTAGGCTACAATTAATATGGAATCATTATGGAGCTGGAAATTTTTTGAATTTTTCAATATTCCTATAACAAAAGATGATAATACCTTGTTCCACCTAAAAAAAGTAAAAAAATAAAAATAAAAACGCTTTAATAATGGTAACTAATTTTTAAAAGAGAAAGTTATAACTCTTACTAGCAGCTCCTTGATAGTATAAATATTGTGCTGCGATAGATTGATAAAATCCAGTTAAAAGGAACATTGCCTGATATACAATGATGACAAGCATCGAAGACTTTTCTACAGACATCTTTGGAGTAAAAGTTTAACTGGTAAAATGATGAATGATGTACGCACAAAAATGTGTAAATGCTGTATTTATCATTGTTTGCCGTTTTTAGTGCATTCAAATGCCTTTTCAGATAAATTATCATTACACAGCCTAAAATTTAATTACTACGTAACGGTAAGACAACCAGATTTAGTTTTCTTTTTAAGGCATATTTCCCTTTTTTTTTTTTTTTCTAGCTAATGAAAATTTTGTAAGTCAATGTTATTAAATATTAAGACATTTTCAGAACAAATAAAGAAGCTCAGTACATTTTGATCAGGAACCAAAAAAAAATTGGATTTTTAAAAAATCAATTTTTGCACTGTTACATTATTATCGTGAAAGTTGTAATTTTGTATAAGTCTTTGACAGGTGTGCAATAATTACAAAATAGCTTTAAAATAGCTTAATATTGATTTATATTAAATCATGTTTGGTTTGAAACATGAACTCTCAAAATAATGCTATGTTTTTTATATTTGGGAGATATTATTAGGGATGTTAAGTGGTCCGCAGGGGACCGGTTTTGGACCGGTTCTGGACTGGACTTTTTAAGACTTTTAGGGACC